CCTGTGGCTTTAATATTATTTGTATTGTGTTCCATGTATGGAAGGCCACTTTTATTTCTATGTCTCGAATAAGCTTTGTGATTGCTCGCACTTCCTTACGCTGTATGTGAAGGCAACCCATTTTGTTTATTGTTGCTGCGAGTCGGCATGTCTATTTTGTTTTATTTTTTTCTGAGCAGGTAGGTTGCTAATGAAGTTTATGTCATACTCATTATTATGTAATATGTTTTGGTGTTCATTTCTGCATCCTTTGCTTTTCCTGTTACTGGGTATGTATACAATCAATTTACTAAACAGTTAATGCTGGACAGATTGTGCGCATATGGGTGGCATGAGCTATTTGGTACTATTATGTCAGTTTGGGTAGGATTTCAATATACTGCACATACAAATTTCATTTTGATGTGTTACTAGATCTAGGAAGTTAATAGACTGTTCTTCTTCTTTCTCTATGGTGAAATTTATACCTGATTGTAATTTGTTGAACCCATTAAGTGTGTGGTCAATATTTTATTTTGATCGTATATTATCAATATGTCATCGACATATGTAAAATATGCAATTATTTGACGCTTTATTAGGATGGGATATATTTGTGTGCACTCCATATGTTGTATGTATGTTTCTGCTAGTACTGACGATGTTGAAGCTTTAACAGTCCACAGGTTTGTTTGTAATATTCTTGGTCAAACTGGAAATAATTTTGTTCAATCACTGTTCTTAACCGTTCAGCGTGGTTTGACGTGTATGTTTCATCAGGTATTTAAATCGTCCGGGGGGGTTCGACGTGTATGTTTCGTCCAGCTGCACACCTATGTTATAACGCCCATAATAATTGATGGTTTTGCTGTAGATTGTTAGATTTTTCGCTGGCCTGTTTTCACAAAGACTATATATAATGAGCCACGACTTTATCTGCGCTAAGTCATCGTTACATATGCCTGTCTTGCAGCAAAGTTCCTGTTGCTCTTGGGAGAGGTTTAGTCGTTCAATCTGTTATAAATGGCGTGTTTTCTTTCCTATGAAGTTATAAACAGCAGAGACGTGATATGTGCCGTGTTTATAATATCATATTGCCCTGAGCTGGCCACACTAACACACTCAATTGGAATTCTTAGAAGAGGGATGTCCAAAAATTTATTCTTGCAAGATCGATTGATTTCGCACAGTACATGGCAACCAGTTCTTAGAAAAACGTCACGAATTAAGGCAGAACACTATGGTCACCCCCTATGACGATACTGGTGTGTGTGTGTGTGTGGGGGGAGGAAAAGAA